ATTGAGTAATTACAATATATGAATAATTTAGACATTGTCCTCGCTCTGTTTACAACGCCAAATCACAGATTTTCACGTCTTGATACAACGGCTGCATTCCAAGCCGCAACAAGTGCAACTTCAAACTGGGTTTAGCAGAACTCTTCCCAGACATAAAACCCATGTCTTCAAAAAACTGTATTAAATTCATACGATTGATAATATACGACGAATTATCTTTACTACCATTTATTTGAAGGAGTTTGTTTTGACCGTCGCGTTACCGTCCTAAAATCGTATGGTCTCTAATGGAAAGCGCCCTTGGATCAGCAAACCTCAAATTGACAAGTCTTCTGTTCAGACAAACGCATAACCTTGCTTAAAGTGTATACAAAATATATACAAACGTAATACAACTCCAATAAAGAGATAAAAGTTTCAACAAGTTGCATCGAACTTATAGGTAGTGTTGGTAGGTACTACATGTACAACTGTTAAACACTGTGATAGAGACTGTTTAACTTAGGTAACGGCAGTACAAACTTTGTAAGTTCTTTATAGAATGCATCGTATAATGGCTCACAATGGACCTATTTCCTGATGAACAAAATTTTGATCTAGACAAACTGACGAAGTCTAGACAAAAATTTCATCACAGCTTGAAAGAGCATCACAAAATTAGTAACATTCCGAAGTTTCGTTGCGAAATGTTGTAAAATGCGGATAATATAGTAGTCATGCGAAGTTTGCCGTTTTTCAGTCATTTTGTAATATTACGCACGGGAAATTGGTACCGCTTTCTGAAAAAAGGTTCATTATAGGTAATAGGTCCATTGTGATGAATAATAGAACGCATTATAACGTTGCTTGCCTAAGAACCTTTGAAATGATATTGTAACTTATTTTCGAGATTTTCGTTTGCACACTTTGTCTCTGAGTTATTTCAGTTTTATTGATTTGCAAATGTCCGGAATTTACGTCACATATGAATAATGACTGATCAAAGAATGTAAGGTACAGTTAAATATCATGAAATAAAAAGGCTAAATCGCTGCCCTCGGGAGCTCGAGTTTGAAAATGGAAAATTCCTCGCGAAACAGTGTCAAAATTGAACGGGAATTATGTGTAGACTTGAAGACTAGCAAAGCGACAAGAGTAATTATACCCTTTACAATGAGACCAATTAACAAACAATCGATGGTCCCCTTCGCTTAATCCATTAATAACACAAAAACTATCGGCTTTACACTTATATTGATTCTAGGATTAAGTCGTAATTTTTTACTGCGTGGGTTTTTCAAAGAAACAATATATACATCTTTGTCATATGTAGACAGCACGCTAGAAACGGAGTGTTTTTATGTTGTAAACTAAGTGAAAAAGGTCTTATTACTGATTGTATATTGATTAACAGGGAGCTCGTTTTTATTCTGATAGATTGTTACAGCAAAGTGGATGTCTTAGTGGTTGCGTCACAGCAAAGAATGTGATTATATTATTCTGTTCTTCTATATTGGCTAACGGGCATTATTCATTGGTATAATTTCACGTTGTGAACGCTCGACAGGCCCTCGACTACCAGGCTAAGAATGGCAGTTCTCGAAAATATGGACTAGTTTGAGAATATTTGATTGGATCTATGAACAGAAGTCGTCTACTCAAAATTTCAACGAATTCTGAACAATCTTCATAAAATTTTGGTGTTACTACAAGCTGAAAATCATCCGACTTGTCGGACATTTCTTGGAATATTAGAACAAGCTGACTATCTATAAAACAGGCTAAACCTTTTTAGAGTTTATGTGGTTCACAGAGATTTGGTAAAAATGTCTTTTATATCGTTTAAAAGACAGCTAAGCGCGGACTTGGAAAGGCTGTCGTCACGTAACCATGGCAACAAATGCACAGCCTACCCAAAATCTGCTTCCGCATTTCGCAAATTGGGAAGCACATCACAAAACCGGATTAAACCGGTTCGTAGAACGGAAGCAGGTATAAGAAACCGGAATCCCAAACAAGGATGGGTTCCAGTCCCCCCTCCACCTTCAAGGCTGGAATTTTTCCCGACATTTTTAGACGGCAGAACGCAAGGTGATTGGATAAGCGACGACGACGAAATATTAAGACATCAACAAAATTGTTCATTTACAGTGGACCGAAGTAGGGTATTTTTACCCGGTACGAAAACTTTACCCAGGTTTTCGTACCTTCGGAACTCGACGCTCCCGGATAGAACTTCCGGTGGGACTTTGGATACTAGCAATTGGCGAAGGGGATTTAGGACACGGTATGAAATACCCGACCGGAGAAAAGAACCTACAGTTCGATTGGTTGTGAATCTTCCCAGGACAGACATGGCTCGGCCTGTTGTAACGTTTTCTTATAAACATGGGAAAATATGACATACATGCATGTTCTTTTATATTTGATTGGTATAGTTTTGCCAAGCTTGGGCTGTATTGGCACGAATACACGCGTACATTTATTAAACTTTGGTTAGAATTGCATATACAGCCAATTCAAAAAAGGTTGTCCTTTTCAAACTTTAAACCTTATCTAAAGGCCCTGTCACACTATTGCGTATCGTACTAGCGTATGCCAGCGTATGAAAAATATCACTCATACGCCAGTATGCGCTGACATACGCTAGGGGTACGTTAGGCATAGGTTGTATACGTTTCAAGCACGGTCGCGTACAGTGGCATACGGCGAGGCAGAAAATTTTTTTTAAGCATGTTAAAAATTTTGTGCGTATATCGGACGTATGCTTTATACGATAAGCATACTCTAGGTACACGCTGAATACGCTAGAGGTACGCCAGATGTACGGTACTCATACGCTGGCATTTCAAAGGATTTTTGTGCGTATGAAAATTATTTCATTAATTTTCATACGCTTCTCTCATACGCAATAGTGTGACAGGGCCTTAAAGCCGGTTACAGACGAGCGAGTTTTCTATGACAAGTTTTTATGTGACAAGTTTTATTTGCTCGTCTGTACGCGCAGCTTTGACAAGTTTTTCTATGACAAGTGCACTTGAGCTAGCATGCTAGCTTTTGAACAAGTGCACTTGTCATAGAAAAAATTGTCAAAGTACAAATTTTGTTCGGCTGTGTGGGCCAACAAAGAAAACTTGTGAAAGTAATCTGAGCATTTGTTGTGATTGGCCAGCTGGCTACTAATAAATTATCAAAGTAAACTTGTTGACACGTTCACACCAGTATAAAATAAAACTTGTCATAGAAAATTTGTTGCATATACACACGTGCACTTGGCAAATAAAACTTGTCACATAAAAACTTGTCATAGAGAACTTGCTTATTGGCAGCACGAGTTTCAAGCTTAGTAGTTGAATATTGCAGCTATTTGTGAGTGAATTGTTCTCGTATGGAGATATTCACCAGAAATGGGCGGCATATATGATTTCTAAACTAACTAAATGATGTTCCCATATTTATGCTTTGCACGCTTTGAGTTTAAGGTTTAACGTGGTTTAAGGTTTGCAAAGGACAACCTTTTTTGAATTAGCTGTGTATGCTGAAACGTGTCCACTTCCACAATAAAAACTGTCAGATCTGTCGTATAGTTGACTGTTTTTAACTACACACAGTTCTAGTGGGGTCCCCCAGAAGAATTGCGAAATCTAGAGTCTCTGAAATGGTATATTTCCTCTGTTCTGGGGAAGATTTGAAATGACTTCCTCAACGAGATTGAAACTGATCCTAACCACCCACAACAACTTGTTCCCAGTCATGATCGCTGTCATGCAGAAACCAACTCGTCTGCATTTCTATATAGGCTGTTGGGCTGTTTTGAATTTTTAAATTACCTACTACGACTCGATGGAGCACGTTTTCAAGATATCTATTCCACCTGACTTTTTGAAGTTTAGGGCGCTTTTCATTAACATGGCCAGACCGGTCAAATTGTTGAATGGAACACAAACCATTGGGCTTCGAACCTATCTGACCGAAAAATTTAGATAACATTAGAATGATGTCCATTTTCGCTAGATATTTGAGAAACATAGACCAGATCTTTCCATTGATACAGAGACAAGAATTCGGGTCTTATCGGTCAGGCCATTAAATGGAAAGCGCCCTAAGTTTATATTTAAATTCACGTTTGGTTTTAATTCAGATAATTCAATTCGATAATTCGCCCCACATCCAAACAGTTCAATGTTTGCCGAATGAATGCAACATGGGTGTCCCCCCCCCCTTTTAGCGCCGTCTCCTCTGAATTAACACAATAATTTCACAAAATTTCAATATATAAAATGATTTCATGGTAAAACAAATGTTGATACAAAGCTACATTAGTACGACTACATTAATAGGCTGCTATGTAAAATTGTAATGGCGTCGTCAGATCTATTCGTCACATATATAATTCGTTTTCTATTATATAGATATATTATATGTATATTTACAAATTATCAGTTCATTTATGAAAGTTTAGATATATATATGTATACGAAAATCATACGTTCATAAAATATCATGGATGAATAATTATGCTATAATTATCAAGTGTTGAATTAATTTAATTGTTTAAATATGTTTAAGATCATTTTTGCAATTCGTCAACAAAGCGAGTGGCTTTGAAAAGTTGAAAATGGATTCGCGCGAAAGTAGTAGTCAACAGATTTCTATTTGAACAAATTTGGACTAGTCCTCTTTCATACTATCAAATTCATCAGCTTATTTTGCGGATTATTGTAGCGGTGATAGACCACATGTAGCGCAGGCCATTTGTTTACGGAGTTCCATAAGTTCCCAGTAAATGTCAGTGACTAGAAAAGAAATAGAAAACTGTTATTATAAGGCAGGGGTCTACCGCGGGGCGCCCACCCCACCTAGTGGTGTCTACCCCC